AAAGGAGGAGAGACAGTGAAGGGAAGGGAAGTTTAGTTTAGTTTAACAAATTTATTGACAAAGCTTGTAGTTTGCCTATTCTGAGTAGTTCAGTCAGGTCTTGACACTGAGGGTGGTATCACTTCTCACAGCCACGCAGGACAGAGGTTCATACACAAAGAAATACATCATATTCATTAACAGCTATAAATGTATAGAGATCAGATTCATATGGGTAATGTCACTGTTCACTGCCATGCAGGACAGAGGTTCATACACAAAGAGATGCATCATATTCATTGACAGTACATATACATATATGTACACACACACATACACATATACATACATACATATATACATACACATATACATGTACATATATATACACATATGCACACATACATACATACATATACGTCGGTCAGATTCATGTGGGTAATGTCACTCTTCACTGCCATGCAGGAGAGAGGTTCGAGGGAAGGGAAGGACGGAGAGGTACTGGAGGTGACGATGGTACATGGATGAATTCGTAATAGTATGACCATGTTTTTGTTTTAGTCATGTTTAAACTTTGACACTAATTTTTAATAATAATAATAATAATAATAATAATAATAATAATAATAATAATAATAATAATAATAATAATAATAATAATAATAATAAAAATAATAATAATAATAGTAATAATATTATTATTATTGTTATTATTATTATTATTATTATTATTATTATTATTATTATTATTATTATTATTATTATTGTTATTATTATTTGGACCATTTTGCACTCTTCGTAATACTAGAAAACATAAAGGAGAATATTCATTGTATTTTGTAAGAGGAAAACTGACTTAAATGTGTTTTATGATAATTTGATTCGTTTTGTTATATACTAAAATTGATTCGTTTTGTTATATACTAGATATTAAACTGTAAGGTCACGAGCTGTCTGTCATGTGTGTGTGTGTGTGTATGTGAGAGAGAGAGAGAGAGAGAGAGATTTACACTTTAGAATAACTTGGTGGTGACCTTATGGTGTCGGGGGAAGTGATTGTCGGGTAAATTCTGTCACCTGTGTCCGTTGTGGCTGTGTGTGTATTTGTAAATCCATGTGTGCGTGTGTAACCATAAGTGCGGAAAATATTGGTGTTGTAATATAGTCATCCACACGATTGCCACGAAAATCTATAAGGCAGTGTGTATACATTTTTTTAGACCATGTTCATATTGTTTGTGCGCGTTTATGTATAACTATGTGTAACAGTATATGAACTCGAGACAGCTCACAGACATACACTCTCTCCATGCACAAGGGTCAGTAACCCAAACATAGGGTAAAAAAAAAAATAAGAAAATATAGACCAAACTACAGCATAACACCCTAATAAATAAAATACATACATAAAAAACATGCCTTTACATTTTCATCACATAAATGAAACGCATGATAAACAAAATACCGATTTCGTTTCATGTCATCTATACAGTAATTCATATCGTCTAGACTGTAGAGCATAAACTCTGTCACACAGCGATAATTTATCTGCTATTTATTTATATGGGCAATTATTTAGCCGCATATTTTGTGGATATTATGCAGAGTAATTGGGGTATTTATGTGACAGAAGAGTTTTGTTGTTATCGACATTTTCCGAGGATGACATAGTGGCTGACGTTATCACGGACCTTTGGTTACACTGCAATTATCAGCTTGATATTAGTCTTTTCTGTATATACTGTAGTTTCCAGTTATGTTAAATAAAGGCAAGATGTCAGGATATATCTTCTCGCTTTAATGGTAAGAAAGAGAGAAAGAATAATAATAATACACAGTACTACAATTATTACTACTAATATTACTACTAATATGACTTACCAATTCATCTTCCAGTTAAGGCTCAACGGAGTCCAGCTTAACTGTTAAGCTATACTCCGTCAATAAGGCAAGTGGTCTTCTCCAGCCAAATATCATTCCCCCTCTCACTTGACTCCCGTGTACTAGGCAGGTTCTACTACCCAACAATCTTCCCCACTCCATTCCCTGGGTCTTGCTCCTCCAGGCTGTCTAACATCATCTCCACCTGGCAGCTCTCTCTTCATCCATGCCCTCCAGCCGCCTCAGCCATCTTATTGAGTATTGGCGTCGCGTCCAGTCCACCGCTGTAGATGATAGCGTAGTTAATGTAGCGTAGATAATGGAGTGACTATAGTGTAATTTTAGCTCTGAATCACGTTTTTTTAAATACGTTTAAATGTTCAACGCATATACGGCGTTTATTGTAAGGCGTTTTAAGAAGCAAGTAATAGTTAACACGCTAGCTTTCCCGGACTGTCATTACAAAAAAAACCGACATTGTACTGCGTCTTAGGAATAACTTGTACAACACAGTCTTCAGAATACAATAAAATTAGGAGAACTGTTATTTGGACACAATACGGAAAGAAATAGTGAAGAAAATATGTAGAAAATTATGGAAAGAAAGACATAAAAGGAAAAAAAAGTCAATCAGCCAACAATAAATAAGAATATAAAAAATCGGGCCCGTTGTAAAGGTGGGTGGTCCGGAGTGGGAGCTTTAAACCACACTACGTACTGTACCCTCTCATCTCCCTGCTACTTTGCTTACAGCTGTTTGCAGACATAAACACGCAATACGACGAATTTCAGGTTCGTTTTAAGTATTATTTTTTGCATTTACAGAACTTTAATCAACTTGGTCACCCTTATTTAAAGTATCTTATGAGTAATGATGTTAAAGTTTTAATCATATTTGAGTAATTATCAATATTTTACACAAAATTCACCAGTGATTAATGAAATCGGACAGTACCCACGTAAAAATGGGCGGAGCCAAAACTGATTTCTACTAGGCGAAATCCTTTTCAATTCTTTCACACCATACGCTTTGCTTTAAGTCCCATCTAATATACTACCGTATATAGAACCATTCTTTATTATTATATCACAGTTTTTTATTTTCTTAACTGCCCACAACTCTTCAATATTAATCAAAACATTCTCCATAAGCGGCCATGATCCGCATATTTACACAGTACGTGGGAGAACTCCCTGATGGGTTGTTAACTATTCGGGCCGTTTGGTCGCTGCTCAAGGCTAACGCCTGATCGAGGTGTTAGCTCTTCCCTCTGAATGTTCCATGCGCACAGCTCAAAAACAGCGTCTGCGCATACAGAATAGTTAACGCGTTAGCTATTCCGTAAATCGAAAACGCCTTACAATAACGCCTATAGTTTCAGGCTGCATCATATAAGGAACTGAACACATACTTGCAGCTTATTAGTAGAGGGAAATACTTAAAAGGTAGAATGAAAACCTACAGAAAAAAAATATTGCTGCAACCCGTGCGAAGCCAGGTACTAATGCTAGTAGTAATAATAAAAGAAAACTATCGACCATTCTCAATACAGTGATAACATGCTATTGCCCTAAAAATTAAGAACACGGTTGATTATCTTCAACTAACTTTACCAACATACGTATTGTTCCACCATCTTGTCGTATGTTTGATCAGTGAATCATTGACGTCTATGATTAGTTAATTGTCTGTAAATCTGTTTAAATAATTATTAATCCTGAATCGTCAACACCCGGTGCTGAAGTATGTCAAAATAGTCAAGATATCTGACAGTTAATTATTTTTCGAAAAATTATCGAAGACAAATGTTGCTGGTATTTACTTTTGTTCTGTAATATGTATCTGCTGTTTTTGGGGGCAACGATTCGATTACCCTGGATGTAGTTAGGTTCGTGTGAGAGATAAATTTAGTTTGGTTAGATTAGGTTAGGTTGGGTAAGGATCAGTTAAGTTAGAACACATAAGTTAGGTTAGGATAGGTCAAGTTTAGATAAATTAGGTTAAATTAGCTCAAGGCAGGTTGGGTTAAGTTAGGTTAAGTTAGCTCAAGGAAGGTTGGGTTAGGTTAAGTTAGGTTAGCTCAAGACAGGTTGGGTTACGTTAGGTTGAGTTAGGCAATCTTCGTTAAAGTTTGGCTAGGCTAGATTCAGTTAGATAAATTTAGCCGGGCTAGGTTAGATTGGTCTATATTAACTTCGGCTATATTTGGCCACATTAGATTAAAGTTTGGCCATATTAGGTTGAGTTAGAGTAAGGTTAGGTTAGATAAGACTGTATGAGATAAAAATAGGTTGTTGGTTTACACTGCGCTACGTGAAGTTATGTTTGCTTCAAGTTAGGTTAATTAAATTAGATATGGTTATGTAAAAATAGGGAACACCTGAAAATTAAGCATCCTAGGTAGAGTCAGGTTAAGTTAGGTAAAAAAGGTTAGGTTAAGTTAATTATTCGGCAGCAGCAGCAGCAACACAAGTCAAAGCCAAGAGTGGTTATGGTGTCATATTACTCTCGTGTCTCACAGTACGAATGATTAAATAATGAAAGGTCAGGCAAGGTCACCCAGGGATCCCTTTCTCTGTATCATAATGACACAAAAATATAAATGAGCGAAATGATTAAACTTTGGTCGTTTACAGGGAAATAATTAAATCTTTATACAACTGAACTCTGTTATTTCCTCGTCCTATAAACAATTAACTAGGCTTTTCATTATAATCGAATAACATTTTAATGACCATATATTTTTTCAGAACTAGTTATTTCATTCACAGAACTGTATGGGAACAACTTTAATATTTGTGTGGGTGTTCTTCTTTTGATGGAAACAAAGGAAGAATTTTTTTCTAACGATCGTGTTTTAACATGCCATGAACACTGAATAAATTATATACCCGTGTCCCCGTAACTTAAGTTCAGACTGCAAAGGGTTAAAGCATCACTCCAGCACGTAGGATGTGAAAGAATTCTTTTTCGGATTAAGTAATAGTAGGTAAGGTTCCTAAAACTCGTTCAAACTTACGTTATCACCAAGTGAAATATAGAAAATGCGTCCCGTAGATTGTGAGAGTGTGAGGCGAGGAGTCACTAGGGCAGGCTCACTGGAGTGGTGCCGAGACAGACAGTCAGTACCGCGTTGGCCGCCACCCGCTACGTACTCCCTGTATCCCGCCCCATCGCCACAACTCTTTTTGATTAAGACTTCACTGTGATCTCTTGCTTGGTGTAAAACACTTAGTCGAAAATTTTGCGAGTGTATTCGTTCATTATTTATGGTGGTTTACTTTTATTAGTTTGATTTTTGCAAACGGAAACGGAAATTTTTGAGAAATGCAATTGAAATTTCAACTTAAGCAGAGGATTGTTGTGTGAAGCTGTGTTGATTATATATATATATATATATATATATATATATATATATATATATATATATATATATATATATATATATATATATATATATATATATATATATATATATATATATATATATATATATATATATATATATATATATATATATATATATATATATATATATATATATATAAGACAATACATGAATTTATTTAGCAGGAAAGGGTGACATCTGAAAGGATTTATAATATACTGTAAGCTTGAGACATTATAAACAAACAGGTTATTGTACCCGATTAAATAAAATTGAATGAAACCAGAGGAAAACTCTTGATCAATATATTAAAGTTTCGAAAAAAGTAAATAGATAAATAAAACACTGTAAGTGATGTCACAGCTGCGGTTTCCACACACCGCCACAACAACGACAAAAACAACCAAGATGTTGCCCATTTCGCCCCTCCTCTTCATCTTGTTCTTCCAAGCGGGATTTTGCAACATCTCCTCCAGTCAAGGTGAGATTTAAGACCCCGAAAGATGAGATTTGTGGCTTCACAGGGTTTTTTCCCCTCCGCTCCGGCTGTGACCAGCCGGGAGGGAAGCATCCGTGGGAACACTAGAAGGTAGTGTACGGACAGTTCGGGTCCCTGAGACCTGAATATTACCTTGTCCCTGTAGGGTCCAACGCCAAAAGCTCTGGGACCAGAGACGCCTAAGCTTTGGAGGTGTTGAATGAGTTGGGCTACAGACTTATTGAAGCTACTGGAGATTCCAGGGCATATATAGGGATAATTGCCGATTAGCGATAAATTTTATGTATTTATCTTTTTGGGAAACTTCTGACTTGCTTTAAACGATCATGTACTCCATGAAAATACATATAAAGAATTAGTTTCATACAAAACCTCCTTACCTAACCTACCCTACTTCAGGTATAATTTTGATATCTTATGATAGTAAGCGACGCCATAAATGAAACAGCAAAAATTTATTTCCATTGAGTTATAACGATAAAAACTTTATCCCTATTCGGTCAAAACTTTAGTTGCTTTTTAAGGCTTAATCAGTGATTATCCCTAGTTAGTGTAACATATGTAAGTAGTGGTGGTTGGGTATTATTTTACTTTAGGACATAGTGCGCCCGAAAGTTATTAACTTCTGAAATATTTAGATCTCGCTATTCTGAGCACTTTGAACCCCATATATATACATGGCGGAAATTAATAATAGCGACACAATTTAATTCAATTGATTTTATGTAGTTTTAATAATAATAATAATAATAATAATAATAATAAACGGTTTATTAATAGAGTTGCAGCCGGTGGCTGAAAATATACAGACTTACATTTGATTTAGACATAATGATATAATATGCGTTGAATACATTTACAGGGCTGTACAGTACATAAATCAGGAGTTGTTTATTATTTTAACAATAGATGGGATGGTGCTATTCTTATATCTATCGGTGCGGGCTCTTATGGGCTGAATTTTGTTGTAGTGGCGGACTGCGCGAGGTGGGTGGGGGGCTGCAGGTGGCAGGAGGTGGCGATGACGAGGGCCGTGCATTAGTTGGCTGCCAAACCTTTCCAGTGCTTGGTGGTGGAGGTCACTGAGGGATGGCATTTCCAGGGTGGAGAGAGCATTGATATAGCAGGAGTATTCTGTGCCGAGCATGATTCTGCAGGCCCTTTTCTGTACCTTCTCTAGCTGACGTTGTTGGGTGGAGTTGAGAGAAGACGACCAGGCTGGTGACACATACGTTAGTTTGGGGAGAATAAAGGCATTGTAGATAGTCCTCAGCTCTGGCGTGGGTGTCCCAAGTGACCTAAGTCGTCTTAGCATGTAGAGACGGTACGAGGCTGCCTTGACTGTGTTATTTACATGGGCCTTCCAGTCAAGTTTGTTGTCTATAGTTACACCCAGGAGTTTGGCAGACTGCACCAGCTGGAGAGGATGGGCACCTACTGTGACTGCTGGGGCTTGCACTGGCGTGGTGGCGGTATTGATGTGCATGACTATGGTTTTGGTGTGGTTGATGGTGACCTTGTTCTCCGTAGTCCATGCCTGTAGCCTGTCCAGGGTGCCTTGTAGCGATGAGTAGTCTGGTGCGGTGTTGTCCACTGTAACCCCCACAGTGCAGTCATCCACGTACTTCCACCTGTGAGGAGTGTCCGATAGAGCGTCGTTGATCAGGATGAGGAAGCACAGTGGTCCCATCTTGGTCCCCTGGGAAACACCGCAGGTGAGGTTTTGGAATGTGGAGACCGAGCCCTGATACCTCACTGCCTGGCTAGGTATCAGGGCTCGGTCTCCACATTCAGTCTGAGGAGATGTTATCGGTGCATCACGCATGCGCAATATTGACGGACATCATCCAGTCGTGACCAAATGATGTATCGATATCATCACGCGAATTTTTTTCGACCAATCACATTTGATTTTTTCAAAAGAAGCAGCCTGGCCTGGGTAATTTCATTTACCGGTCTCACAATGGCCGTGGTGGAGGTTGGTTGTCATTTGTGCTCCTACGGTTATTTTAAGTTTATTGCTGAGTTTTACGAGAAAGACAATCATTCTATCCCATTCTTACGTATCCCTGGTCCTTCCACTTCTAACTAAGGTATTGTACTTTCGGACATGGCGCTCCCCAAAGTTTTTAACTACTGAAACATTTAAGTTAGTTTGAGCTAGGCCTACCGGGGGTTCGGGGGCGGAGTTCCCGGCTAGGGGGTTAGATTTTGTTAGGTTAGATGACTCGTTTTCGTTTTCTCCCCCACCCAAAAACCCTGATTTCCCAGGCTCTCCCCCATTATTGTTGGGGGGGGGGGGAGCAAAAAGAGCAATTTCCACCCAAAATGAAGATCAGGTTCGTTTAAAACAGACGAAAATACACTGGAAAAACATGTTGGTCAACCCCTAGGGACTCATGTCCTAAAGTAAAAATATACCGGTGATTGTTTCAATAACCACAATACAAACTGTAAATGAATAAGGTCATTACTAACTTAACCTGATCTAATTTAGGTATATTTTGGTTATCTTATGATAGTATAGACGTCTTTTATGATACACAGCAAGTTTAACCATTACGTCATAACAGTAATAACGAAACGTTAATCCTATTTGGCTAAAACCGTCAGTTGTGTTTTAAGACTTAAGCGGACGATCATCCTTAGCATCACACACACACACACACACACACACACACACACACACACACACACACACACACACGGATATTATATGGAAGTAAGAGAAGTGAATGAAAGCAACATTTCTCACTTAAAACTTTCTCATTTCTTTCAACTTTTTTCCTGTGTTGAAGAAACTTTCACTGCAACTTTTCTTTTCTTTCGACTTTCACTGGGCGACCATTTCTCCCTCCCGAGCCAATGGCGACCTCTCGTGTGGCTTTTTGTAACACCTGTGTCATACCCATGTGATATATTTTTGTCCTTGTCTGTCTATCTGTCTCTTTCAGTATATCCAAAGTGATTTTATTTTTCTATCTCACTCTTTCCTTAGTGTGTGTATGTCTGTCTCTCAGTCGTTCCTAAATGATTTTGTCTTTATGTGTCGATATTTTAGTTTTTCTAATTTTTTTTTCTGTCTCTGTATGCTTGTCTGTTATCCCCTGTCTGTCTCAGTTTTATTCATAGTTAACAGACAGCTCCCAGACTGACAGAGGAAGACACACCTCACAGACAGACAAAAATAAAGAACAGACGGGAACAGATATTTCACACAGACAGATATACAGTGGAACAAAGCTCACAGACAAGCAAAAAGTAACTAACAAGCACACACACAGAGCCATGCATGCAGTACTGGTGAAGTTCGGGATAAGTTATCGTTTTTATGTATTGCTAAGCTGGGCGGGACGGCACAGCTGCTGTTACGACCTCTGGCATAATAACGGCTGTGCTTGTGCTGTTAAGGTGACGATCAATAACTGTTAAGGTCATTCGTAGGTGCTGTGTTGGTGCTGTTAGATCACTATAAAAGTAATCTATATTAACACCTCAGTAGGTTAGGGCATTATCGGTCAGGTACAGGTTATAGTTTAACAACAAAGAAATACCTTGAGAGCTCATGAACCCTACTGTTAAGGGGGACATGTATATATAAGATCTCATAGATACTGTGTTTGTGATGTTAAGGTGATCACTAAATTGCACTGTTAAGGTAATCGAAAGCGCAACAAGGATCTTTGATAACTGCTGTGTTAGGGCTGTCAAGGTGATCACTAGAGTCAGGAAGTTATGGTACATAGGTCAGTGCTTTAACTTCCTCGCTTGTAGTAAAGGGCGTCACAGTTCCTGTTACAACGGGCGGTGTGTGCTGGTTCACCGACCAAGAGAGCAAGAATGAACCTTGATAATGACATTGTTTGGAGTTAAGGCGATCACTTACGCCTAAAAGAGCTATTAACACCTCAGTAGGTTAGGGCATTATCGGTCAGGTACAGGTTGTAGCTTAACAACAAAGAAATACCTTGAGAGTTCATGAACCCTACTGTTAAGGGGAACATGTTTTGAGTATATATATATATATATATATATATATATATATATATATATATATATATATATATATATATATATATATATATATATATATATATATATATATAAGTCAAAGGTTTAAAGGGAGGCAGAACACTAATAAACACGGGAAGGACAGTAGGCTATTCTGCGTGAAGTTCTAGAACCAATCTGCTAATGGAGGATTCTCGCCCCTGACGCCCACTTGCTGCTGTAGCGGGTCACTGGGAACCACTTTCTCGCCTACAACTCCACACAAGAATGGGACCGTCGAATTATTCGTAAAACATGACAGCAACAGACTGAAAAAATCAAATTAGAGCATAGAAATGCAGTTTTTGTTTTAGTTTTGACAGGAATGATTGAATATCCGGAGAGATTTATCCATTCTTTTTTTATTTGTTGATTACTAGTGTACGTACTACAGTACATTAGACTAAGCTCATAAAGACCTTATTGCTGAAGTGTAGTAATATATTATAGCATTAACATCATATCCTCACTGCCTCGTAGTGTGATGAATGACTATTTTATAAATTTTCGATGATGAAATATTCAATAATGAAACAGGGCCGGATTCAGGAGTGGGCAAAGTGGGCAGCTGCCCAGGGGCCTCCACAGTCTGGGGGCCTCCACATATTACAATATGTTCTAATTTCCTCAATATAACTGTATATGGCTTCAAAATTCTCCAAAGAAGTGTTCAAATTTCAAAATTTTCCCGGGGGCTTACAGCGCCCCCCGGAACTCCCAGATGTTTAGGCTCACTTCACTCGCCACCCCACCCTCTTGGGTAGTTATAATGAGGGGGGCCTCCACAAAGAGGCTGGCCATGGGCCTCCACAGGTCTAAATGCGGCACTGCCAAGAAACAAAAGCTTACCAACGGAATAATATATAAAGTGGAGTCTATGTAAAGGAATAAAAGCCTGATAGTAATAAAATCAGTAGTAATAAAAGTTGTCA